GTAGTAGTAGTAGTAGCCGCAGTAGTAGTCGTGGTCGCAGTAGTAGTAGTGGTAGTAGGTAATAAGTAGTATGTGGGAAGTAACAGTAGTAGTCAGTAGTTGTAGTACTACTAGCAGCAGTATGCCGCAGTGCCAGCAGCAGCAGCAGCAGTTCAGCTGGCAGCATGCAGAACAGCATTGAGTCGGCACCGAGATTGAGACTTTTGAAGCCAAAGCCACGATTAAGGTGCATCTTGTGTAGACCGCTTGTGCAAAAAGATTATTGTCCAACCCCGATTTGCGACTGAGCCACTTCCTGCACACAACCTCTACAGTACAGTACAGGTGCTTTCTTCCCACAGGCACATACGTTCATTTACGTATGAGGCATGAAATAGCTTCATCAATAAGCATTGCAACAATTTGATAAATAGTTGTAGTGGTAGTGAGTTGGAGTAGCGATGATGACAGCTACAGGGTGCACACGCAAGTCAGTTGGAACAGTGGACGGTACCGCCTCACATAGCTGGACCTTCAACAATAATCGCAAGAAGTTCCTGGAAACAGGGAGCATTGAGGGCTACGCACATGCCTTTACATGCCGTGCTCTAGGCCACCACTCCCAAGGCAACTAACCCAAGCACAATCGCAACAAACAAGAGCAGCAGTGCAGCAGAATCAATCAGCAACAACAACACCGCCAACACGAGCACCAGCAAGCAGCAGCCACCAGCAGCAGCAGCAGTCCGCTTCCGAAGCAGTAGCAACAGCCACTGCTAGGTCAGTGTAGAGACGGCCTATGCTTTCGATGCGAGGTCAGGTTGGTAGCCCGGGGCGGATGACGATATTGGTATGTCCCGGAAAGCGCCCATCCCCAGCAGTCCGATAAAATCTCGATGCATATCAAGGATCGGGATGAGAACTCACAACTAAATGACATGATGTATACTGGCTGAGCGTGCTGCCTCAATACTTGCAAGGGCTGATGTTGCACCATTCAAGTCCTGCAATCCATGCAGATGCACTGTTCAAGGTTCACAGCGCTTCTACACTCCCATCTTCAACTGCCGTAACATACTCTGAAACGTTTTGCTGGCCGATGCGACCTCGTGGAGGAGGCGGGCGCAGACCACGACCAGCTCCTTTCAGGCCAAGGCCAAGGCGTCAGCCAATCGGACGCTGCAGCGGGCAGGATCGTGTCTGAATTTGCCACTCCTGGCGGAGGTAGGGTCGTTCAGCCCGAGCGAGCCGCGTCACCAGTGCTCTCAACAGACCCCCCTTGCGAGGAATCTCTCCGCCCTTCCACTCGCAATGCTAGCCATGCCAAGCCTGAAGCGGCCCAGGCATGATACGGCCTTGGCTCCATTTGCGTTGCAAATGCTTCCATGCTACCAGTAATTCACACATCAGAAGCGACAGATGCAAAGTCTGAAGGAAAGAAGGACGGGCCAAGATAAGCGGCTAAGGCATGAGACTTATTGGGGGCTCAGTTCCACGCCGAACTGAGCAAAGAGAAGCATGGCAAGCGACCTCAGCAAGGGTGAGAAGGAGCCTCACACCATGAGCAGCAGTGGCACCCGCAGTACACAACTCTAGCAATATAGTCGTGCACTGCTCTTGATGCAAAGTAGCTCTTTCTCTGCACTTGCCTGAGTCATGAAAACGACGATGCACCGGCCAAGTGATCTTCATCTTCACACATGACATGCCATCTGACTAGGACCAAATACTCGACACTTCGGTAGTGTACTTCAAGCCCGCATCAATCTGCTTTTCAATCTATGCGGCGGTGCAGCTGTCCGATTTCAAGTCACCGCGATTCCGGCGCCACTCCTCGCCGCGAGGCTTTCTCCGAGCTCACCGTTGAGGAACAGACCGAGAAAGCACCCCGGAAGCTTAGAATGCCGGCATTCATGGGCGTGACCTCAAAGCCTAGCAAGGTGCCTGTCTGCGGATACACGTGCCCCTAGTATGTGGGGGCTCCATCAAGCGAGGCCTGCAGAGTCAGCAGCAGTCCGAAATGGTCGCTTGGCCAGAGATCCTCCTTTTCCAGGCACTGGAGCCAAGCTTGCACGCTCTTGTGATGGCAATCAGCTGACAGTCCTTGATGGGCTCGTCCAGGAGCTCTATGTCTGTTGCTGCATAGTTGGTCATCTGAGTCGCAGGAAGCGTGAAGTGTCTGGGGTCTGGTCGCTGCACTCCATGGAAACCCTAGCGCAACTGACACACATAAGTCATGCAGCATGGGGCTGTGGCAGAAGCTTAACTGTGCATAGTCAGCAACTCCCACAGGCCTTCGTCCAGAATCGATCGAAGCGTAGGCGAGCTTTGTTAGCTCGAGCCCAGCCATCGCTGGCTGCCACCATGCCTCGATGGATCGGAAAACGGAGAGGGTCAGAAGCATGCTGACAGCAGCTGCCAGGTGTCACGCAGGAAATCTGGCTCCCAAAGAACAAGCATACAAGCTCTGGGCGGTTCCGCTCCACGTCGAAAGTGTAGCCTCGAAGCAGGGCCATCAATGCAGATTGCACAACCAAGGCAGTTGCCGAACCCCAAGTGCTGACCAAACTGGAACGCTCAAAACACGCTGCAGCCGACATTGCTGCGATCGCGGCTCACGTCATAACATCTTCGCACTACGAGCCGCAGGTCCAGAGCTGACTGCTCGTGCACTCGTACCTGCCTGGATCATCTGGCTTGAGGACCAACCATGCATCCTCAGACTTGCATGCGGCATCATGCGGCCCGACAGGGCCCGATGTCTCGAAGTTCTTGGCACAGCGTCCTCCCACTCTCCCGGAAGCTTGACGTTACCGTCGATGGCTTCATTGATGTTCGTGTCGCCACCTCGGCATTGATGCCGGACGTAACATTTGCGAAGTCGAGTGATAGTGAGGGCCGGAAGCACTCTGTGCGATCTGTGGAGGTACTAGCCAAGACACAGAACACGGCATCCTGGTAGTCTGCCAAGTGCGACAAGCTCTCGTCTATCTGCACACGACGAGCCTGCACTTTCAGCACGTCAGACTGGGCAAAGCTGGCCCAAGACCCTCTGAATGTAAACTGCTACATGTCTGTCCTTGTGCTCATCCAGGGACTCCAAATGTGATGTTGCAAACGTCAGCGGCGGGAGCTCTGGTGGCTCCACCTTGGCTTCGGGCCGTGCAGGGACCGGCAAGTACCACTGGAACGCTTGGGCGAGACGATACGTTTTACATGGAGGGAGGCAAGGCTGGTGGCGCGGGGGTGGGTGGGAAGCGACAAGCAAGCTGTTCGCGAGGGTTTTCGTTCTCCGGCAGAAGATTTACGCGGTGAACCAGGACACCCCCTGNNCCCCCCCCCCCCCCCCGCCCCCGCGATACATCATAAGACTCCAGAACACCACGGAGAGTCCGTGATACTGTCATTGCCTGGCAGCTGGAACCCTTCGGTAGCCTCGCAGCCAAGCGGCAGTTAGCATCAGCAGGTCTCGCTGCATTCGGCTCGCCTGAGGACTCTTTTAAGCTTCAATGCTGTCGTCAACCCGTCTCGCTGCAAGCAAAAAATGTGTATCTTTCGGAATCGTGTCATGGGCGTCGGTACTGCTTCATGATTGAATTGAATCCGGCCTTGAATGGATGCCTCACTGGCTCCTGTTTAATCGGCAGCCGGCTTCCCAGCATCGTAAAGTATCGCTGCCTTGGGTGACATCTGCAGGCTGCCGAAATCATCTGCTACCGTAGCGCGGTGTGCACTTCGCCCCGTTTGGTTGGACCCAATCAGTCCGAGACCCCGGCCGCGGTGCTGGGCTCCAGAAGTAGCGACGGAATGGTTCGCTCTGCAAGCCTCCGCAAGAAGCTTTCACCTGCAAGCCTGCCCCCACCATTCCTGGTTGCTCACGGTGTCCATCCGGAGCATCGACTGATACATGCAATGCAAAAACAACTGTGCGTGCAGGCCCTTCGGCAAATGTCCGTTGCAAAATGGTGCTGTCCAAGGCTAGGGCACTCCTGCCAATGCTCTGCTGTCATCTCCTGCGGCTGAATTAATTTCGACTGAGTGGCCCAGCAGACTCCTTACGTGCATGTACTTAGCCAGGGCATTACACTGCCAACGACATTCCCGTGCACAGCATTCTGCATGCAGCAAGCGGATGACAGCACGAAAGAAGCTCAAAGAAGGTCCTGAAGTGCAATGAGATCCGGACTCTTCTGGTCGATGATCTTTCCGATTGCCTGCAAGTCGCACCGACTCACTGAATTAGTGCTTAGAGCTCATTACCTAAGTTGGCATCTGTGCCCGCAAAAACCTGCGGATGCTTCTGTGACATGACCTCTAAGTAGCACCGCTTTGCGCCTCCATTCGAGATTTCATCTCGTGCGCCGCGAACCAAATGTTAAACGTAAGCAGGCGCAATGCAGCCATAGCTTGCAATCCGATTGAGCCATCTCGAGCCGAAACCGTCGCTGATCGACGCGGGACAATATGGTGTAGCCTTTGATACACGCGAGCCTGTCTTACTCCACTGTGACAACCACTTTCAGCCGGAGCAGTCATCGTCAGCATTCGTCGAGTTCACTGTTGCACATCGCACATGCTGAGATCTCAGCCCAACGTAGAGACAAGCATCGTCCTGAACCAAAAACGAGTTGCCGTCAAGGGAGCGTGTTGGCATGTCGCATCGTCAAAATCTCCGCCGGCTTTGGCGCTAAACTGAACCCAGAAATAGAGGCTTGTTTGTCCACCGGTGGCCCTGCGCCCTGCCCCCTCCTGCCTGCTAGCCCCTGACGGCCCTAACACTGGATTTCGCGTATTCGTAGTCAATCCAGAAGGCCCCATCCGCCCCCAAACAAGCCCCCCACCCCCGGCACCCTACTTTGCACAAACACCCACACGCAAACGCATGTTTCGGCAGGTTTCGGCGTAAGTCTGTCTCAGTCGGTCTTTCGCGGGAAGAGCACCGCGGCACCGGCCTCGAGGTCTGGGCCAAGCAGGCGCTCGACGAGGCGCAGCAAAGGCTCCAAAAGCCCGGCCTGGCGCGCCCGATGCCAAGGGCCAGCACTGCATGAGCGAGTTGCTGCACGATGCACCAAGCCTCCATAACCTGCGACGGAGATCGCTCTACCTGGCAAGGAGAAGCGCGGCTTCAAAGCTCTAGACCATTACAGGATGAGCTGCTGTCAGAAGCGCCGTGCCGCTGCAGCAGCTATGCATGGAAGTTGCTAGTGTCACAGATTCAGCAATGCAGCGGGCAGCACCAATGAAACGAGCCTAGGCGACAGGACAACACCGGTGCGGATATCGGCAATCTTTCTACAAAGCCTGTCGAGTGAAGTGAAATCAGCTTTAACAGCATCGCAAACTGACGAGTTGAAGCTTCATTCAACGAACAGATCGCAGTAAACTGCAAACACGTGCATGTGTGCACACACACACACACGCTGACACACGGTCACTCATTCACTCACCCACACATAAGGCAAGCACGTCTCGCAGGAATTCTGCAACATCATGCTTTCGTCGGACTCCATGGCCTTGAAGCATCGACCAGGCTAGATCTTCATCATTGACTTTGGAGGCCCTGATGCTACAAATCTTGAACGGCACGTAAACCACGGGACGGCACCAACACCACGAAACCTCTGTGCTGGCCCAGTTTGACATACCACATGCCGCCCGGTTTGGTTTCTCGATGTCCGCGCGGTCATCAACTCCAAACTAGGCTCCGGCACACTATGCATGTGGTTGAGGAGAACTCTAAGCGAGTCGGCCAATGCTGTTTAGCAATTGACCGGCTTTTCCAACTTCGTTGGAGCAACGGCGAGCTTTGCCTCCACCACACTTCCCCGTGACTCTGATTGTGATTGCCCGAAGTTGTGGAGGTAACCTCTGTCATGATACCGGGTAATGATAACAAGTTCCGCCGAGGACTGCGGCAATTCAAACTAAAGACTGCTACCGGCTTGTGAAGCTGGCAGTCAAGCAGCTGTTTGACAGTCGCACGACCGTCTAGCCCCGAAATACAAGCTACACTACATTGAACCATGGTCATGACCTGTGCTCCACCTTACGTGCCTACTTTGAACCGAACCATGCCTTTCTGACTTACTGCCCCACCTTTACTCGAAAGCTGCCCAGCTCAAGCGTCGAAGGTGATGGCAACGTCCAATGAGTTCCTGTGCGCTCCCAGAACCAGAGCAGTGTGGAGATGACAGCCTAGCACAGGGCTATCGTCGCCTGACCAGCAGGTTCACCTGCTGCCGGAGCATGTCCACGGAACTCCGGATGTCCTTTACACAGACACAGCAGTACTCAGAAAGTGAGGCTTTGTGAAGAACTAGAGTTGAAAATCTTCGAGACATGTCCGTGTGCACCTGGTGCATGCGTTGGTCAACTGTGAACTGCGGCTGCCGATTTGCATGTGTAACCTAGCAGCACCTTTTCGGCACAAAGATTAGACAAGCCAGTCGGGCGAAAGCGCTCACCGCCGAGTGCTGTGCTGTAGTTGCTTGTCTTTTGTGGAGTTGAGGTCTCTACAGAAGCGAAGTCACCTGCCTTCACAGCGCCCAAAGTGCGGTAGTGCTCCATCTTGAGCACGGCCAAGTCGAGGCTTCGGGCAGGTCCTGAGAGAAGCGCAGTTAGCTTAAGGACGGAGGACGAAAAGCAGGCCGGGGCTGATGCCCTGCAAACGAGCAGTTCCTGGCTGCGAGAGGCTTCCAGGAGTCCAGTTCACGGTCACTCTCATTCCGGGCCTTGGATCAGCTCCTCCAGGTCGAGCTCCCTGTCCCCCGAGGTGTCCTCGAGTGACGGGTGAAAATGCTCAACTCCAAGGCCGCGTCTGACAAGGCCTCCAACTCTGGACCTGCTTCCGTCTTAATTTCTGACCAGGGGCTAGAATGTCCCACAAGAGATCAGGATCAGAGATGCTCAGACCCTGCGCGGCAAACCAATGCTTCACCTGCCACCGGTCGGAGACATTCCGACAGTACTCTGCTGACGCTTCGTCCATCTTTAGGGTCATCGAAAGGCAGCGGTGGCCTTCTCCTCTGCAAGCACCTCCCTCCACTCCTCGGGCGACAGGACCTTGTCCTTGGAGTTGAATGCTGCTGCTGGCTTCTTCGGCATGGGGATGATTTGACATGTCCGTCCGAGGAACATCATCATCGTTGGCATGCTGAAAGAACATTTGCATCTTCTTCCTTTCGAAGGATATCACAGGATGGTCTAAGCACGGCTGACAAAGCAGTGAAACCGGATATCATTGTGTCACATGTTACAAGTGCTGCAATCGGTTCAGTGATGAAACACGGCACCATCAAGCAGTCAAAGCAGTCCTGTGGGCCATACGTTTTGTTTCCACGGTCCTGCCAAGCTAGCATCGTCATGCCATGAACACATAAGTCACATAAGTGCGTGTGTGTGCGGGCGCGTAAGTTCCATGTTTAAAGGTCCCGCCGGGCTGCTGCCCTTCTACGGTTCCAAGTTCTGCGAAAGAGAAGGCAAGCTTAAAGCAGACTGGCACGCAGCTTCTTTTGTCAGGAAGCATGCATGGCCCGGTCGGGCCAGACTCCGTCCATTGTCAAATCGCTTATCTGAATTACTGCACAAAGTGTCCACAATCTCCACAAAGGGTTTTCCGCTGTATAGAGAGCACGCTGCTCTTTTCAATCCTGGTAGGGTCCCTGCTGGGCCGCCGTGTCCTTTAAGATCTTTGCCGCCTGCTCAGGTCCCATGCACTGCAGGCGGAGGATGTTGTCCAGCACCAGCTGCACATCGCTGCTGACGCTGATGGGAGGGGGGCAGGGTGCAGGCGGAGGTGATGGAAGAGTTGGCACTGGCGCATCGATGAAGCCTCCCCACCCCACTCCATCTCGCATGACCATCGGGTTCGTGTTCTGCGTCATTGCCCCCACCATGTTCCAATAGGCTGCACTTGGCATCTCTTCCACGCCTGCGCTCATCGCTGTGGGCACCCCGTGGAATTCAGGAACCCGGGCTCGCGAGGCACGGTTGTACAGCTCCTCCCCTTCGATGCGATACTTGTCAAGGAGATCCTCGCCGCGGTGGACGTCGAAGTCTTCCCAGGTGCTCCACGAACGCCTGGCACTATAGGAAACAAAGCCGGGGATCGCGCAATAAGGAGTGGAGAAACTAGTAGTAAACGTATAGTATGGTGTTCGAGTACATGTCGCGAAGGCCTGCCAGTGTAGGGTTGCCTCCACTGCCACCTGCCACCATGGTCCCACTCGGCTCGGCGGCGGCGGCCACCGTACGGCATCGTCCCAAAGCGAGATGTGCTGGGACGAAACCTACCGTTTAGATCCTTTCTAGCAACTCTGTGCCGACAGGCACGCAGCACAGGTGCCTGCGGGGCATCTTTCATCATGCAATGCGCTGATCGAAACCGCACAGCTGCGCTCTCCTGCCAAAGGATCGCCCTACGTGCATCGCGTCCTCAACATGATCTGGTCGTCTTGTTGGGCGACCTTGAAGGTCCTTAGATTTTTGATAGTTTCGTTCTTCAACCGTGTGTTGATATTTCTCCAGTTGCTTTCATCCACCGCTTTACAGACCCGAAGATCACAGCCCAGCGGCTCTTGCATGAAGACGCCGTTGATGACAGCAACACATGCAAAGCCTCAGCGAGAGTGGCAGCACTGTTGATACTTTCCCGCTTGAGATCACTGCCCAAATGTTGGACTGCAGCTCTAGAACCTCAAGCTAGCACTCCAAGCAAGTGTGCCGAGGAACCGAAGACTATCTTGTGCAGGAGGCTGAACACAACAAACCAGGAGCTCACCTTCTCCTGACAAGGAATCGGCACAAACATATATATGCGAATCACTTTCTAAATGACTATAAAATCATGCCATAGGCCGTGGGTGCGAGTACATACATTATGAGTATGCAGCATGCCTCCCCGCCCCCATATGGTTGCTCTGATGCGTAGCAACTGCCTGTCAACTGCCAAAACGACAACATCTATATGGCACGGCGAGCCATGCCGAGCCAAGCCCAGCGAATTCGGGATGTCACTCAACAGGGGCAGGCATGTTTTCATGCCTGTCAACAGGGCAAAGGCTTCGGACCTGATCCGAAGCTTCCGGCATGTTGCGGAAACAGACTTGCACACCAAACAACGGACTAACTCCGCACGCCTGCACGTAACCCGCTCAGCATCGAGTGACCAGATCTGCCCCGACAATCTTACTAGTAAACTCCGGGCTTGATGCCCAGAACCACCCGGATCCTTGACAACTCAGCACAGCCTGGAGTATCTAGTTTCATGAGTTCCAGAAACGCTCGACAGCATGGAGTGCGCTCATATACATACAGAGGCATGCACATGACTATAGATAGCAGCGTAGACGTTGATTTCATGCAATATCTTGGTGCAGGCACCACAACTTGACACGATGCAGCCCACGGAAGAACGCATGTAAAGTACGGCCTACCAAATTCCATCCCTGTACAGCAGAATGCCTTTGCCTAGGCCCACGAAAGGTAATGCAACGACCTGTCGTTTGTTGGATCGGCCTGGAGCATCCGAGCGATAGGCGGCCAATTGCCGAGCGTTATCTCAAACATCGAGAGAATACTCCTCAGCTCGTTTTGGACACAGCTCACTGTTCCTGCCATTCGTGCACGCAGCATGCTCCATCGGCCTTCTCTTTTGTTCTTTTGTTCAGTCTCTGTGTGTGTGTGTGTCTAGAGCGTCACCGGCTCCCCTCCTCCCGCTTCAAGTCTGGATCCGTTTTCATGTTCTAGAACTTCGTCCCTTTTTCGATTTGAGCTTTGCCTAGATTTCCCTCCTCACATCCTGCCCCCTCTGGCGATTACATGTTGTGACCTGTCCTTCCTTGCTCTTTAACTTTCGGTTCCATGTCATGCAAATCAC